CCCTGTGGGGCTAAGAGGCAGTGATGAATTCTTCAGAGGAGGAGAAAGTCACAAGCTACCCTGAGTCTTAGAAAGACGCAGGGATTTCAGCAAGCAGGGATGAGACTCGGGATACAAAAAGACCAGAAATGAAAGGAGAAAGCATTAAGCGGCATAACAACAGGTTTGGAAAATTGAAAGGACTTTTGTTGGGCCTGAGTCCAAGATGTCTGGCATGCGGAAAATATGGGATGTGTGGAGAAACATTGATTTCTAAAACAGAGTCAGTTAAATTTTAAGAAAGCAGTCCTTTTTTTGGTTATATTACAGCTAAGCTCAAAACACCAGCTAATTCATAAATGCCCTTAGCAGTTTACTGGAAACAAATTGTGTTTGTTTCTGAATATCTGAAACATATCTGAATTGTGGTAGCAACAATGAAAGGAACTTTTTGGCTACAGTGGTTTGTTGGTGCTGTGGGTAAAAGTCAGATACGAGGCAACTCTTATCTCCTACTGACCAAGTGACCGAGGCCAGGCACTGGCTCCACCTGGGCCTCACTCTGCCCTCAGGAATTCACAGCCCAGAGTAGGAAATACTAAAGCCATCTTGGTCATATCAGAGATGCACAGAGTACTGTGGGAAGTGAGAAGAATTAAAAGAGACAAGGACTGCATAACATACAACAGTGAACCTTTAACACACAAATACGGAGCTGGGGATGAGTCCGACCTAGGAGTGACCAGGTAATCAGGAGAGGAACCTGGAAAGTCTGCTAGAGAAGGAGTGGGGGCGGGGGGAGTCAGGAATGGATGGAGTGAGAGAAGAGAGCAGAAGTCCAATGATGAAGCTACATCAGCAACAGTGGACAATCAAGACAGAAGTGTTTTATAGGAAGATTCCTGTCACTTTCTCTTTCGGGTAGCTCCAGGGGTGGTGGTAGTGTTAAGTGCTGTTGCGTCAGTTCCAACTCATAGTGACCCTGTATAGGGTCTACAAGGAGTGGCTGGTGAGTTTGAAGCACCAACTTTGTGGTTCAAACCAACCTTGAGATCTAGTGCTTTATCCCACAGCACCACACCAAGCCTACATGGACACGATTTAAAATGTTACCATCCTGAAATAGCACAAGCAATGAGTCCAAACTGCCTTGCAGAGACAGCTCCTAGCAAGCCTGTGCTCTCCCAAGTATCAGCCTTTCAGTAGAGAGAGGCAGAAGAAAGGTCTGGCAGTATCCCAATTGGAAGAACCAGTGGGGATTCAAATACTGAGGACCTGGGCAGCCCAGATCTGCTAACAGTAAGAAGTGCTTCTTCCTTGTAGTTGTTAAATGCCATCAAGTTGGATTTGACTCATAACTACCCTGTATAAGGTCTCCAAGGAGCAACTGGTAGGTTTGAACCACCGTCCTTGCGGTCAACAGTACAATGCTTATCCTACAACACTACAGTGAGACTTCCTCCTTTCTGTTTTAGCAAATCTGTTTTGACCAAGCCCTCAGTGTGCACCCCACTAGTGGCACTGTAGGATAAGCAATGAACTGCTGCAAGGTCAGTGATTCAAGCCCCCCAGCATCCCCTCAGAAACCCTGTACGGGTTCGCTATGAGTCAGAACCAACTCAAAGGCACTTTAACAGGAAGTACTTCAATACCATCGTATCTGGTATAGCTGTATTGGTGCATGCTACCAAACTGACAGCCCTAGGAAGCCCAATGTGTATGTTGTTGTGTTTAGCTGCCATAGAATCACTTCTCAGCTTATGGCAACGCCAAGTACAACCAGGCAACATGGTGCCCAGCACTGTGCCATCCCTAATCCCACGGTTGGTTGCCAATCAGATGATTGTGATCAACAAGGTTTGTACTGGCTGATTTTTAGAGGTCGAAAGCCAAGTGTTTTTCCCTAGCTGTTTAACTCTGGAAGCTCCAAGGAAAGCTACCAGAGCAATACACAAGCCTCTACTTACTGACTGGTCCGCAGCTGAGTTACCACCAGAAACTGAACCAGGGTCTGTTGAACTGTACTAACCAGGAATAGAAGCTAGGTCTACTGAGTAGTACTAACCAGAAATAGGACTTGGGCCTCCCGCCTGGAAGGTGAGAATTCTACCACTAAGCCACCATAGCCACATGAAGCTCTGTAAGATACATTCATGTTTAAGGGATAGTGTGGAGACACAGAGACTAATTAAGAGGTTACAATGGATTGGGCAATATAGGATGGGAGTCCATGGTAGTACAAAGTAGAAAGCCTCGAGAACAGAAAGATAAAAAGCAATCCAAACAAGTGCCCTACTTACTAACAACTGTCTTTTTACAGGTTTAACTTTACTGGCTAAAGTATCCTTCCATTTAAAGGTGTCATAATGAGCCACAAGGCTGGAGGTTCGAGCTCAGCAGCTGCTCCTCGGAAACCCTATACAGAGTCGCCATGGGTCAAAACTGACTCGACAGCACTTAATAACAACAACAAAGTAATTAACAAGCAAATGTTTAACTTGTCTAGTTACTGTATTCAAAAGATTAAAATGAAAGCATAAAGAATAAACACTGTCCTCAGTATAGAGTTTATTGATACTGTTAAGTTCTGTCCAGTCAATTCGAACTCATAGTGAGTCTATATAAGGTTTCTGGGGAGTGGATGGGGAATTTGAGGTGCTGGCCTTGCAGTTCAAACCAACCTTGTGGTTCAGTGCTTACCTACAGCATTACACCAGGACTCCCAGCATAATGCAAAATTCCTACACTAAACAGCTAAAGCACAATTACAGTACGTCTCGCCCGCTGCTGACAGCTACACATTTAATCATTCGTGTTTCATGAAGGATGTGCTTCTTGTACCGTCTCATCTCTTCCATCTAAGAATCACTGAATAACAGTGATGTGTCCTTGCTCTCCGGCCACAGGATGATTTCAGAGATAGCATAGTATGAAACTGACAAATCCGAGAGTGTTCATTTAAAGTTTTCTACTTTCGGCAGGTAAGAAACTTTCCTTACCCAGAGGGGTAGATGGTGAAATTGATGAAGCGTAGGGTTTCATCATCTTTAATCCCTATCTACCCACAGAGATCATCTAAAAGAGAAAGGTTCATCAATTTGAAGAGCCCTTAAAGCACATGGCGCTCTCTCATGGGCTTGGTGTACCGCTTTCTATGTCTTTTGTTGTGTGTATGTTGGTTTTGGTTTTTGTAAATAAAAAGAGATAAAATACAGAAAGCTGAGCTGGTCTACAACAGTCTGGTCTGGGCCATCAAGTACTTTTATCAAGGTCAAGAGTAACAACATAAATCTTGCTAGTTTTTCACTGAATGTATGATATTAAGAAAATTGAGCAGCTGAGTGCTTAGCCATTGAGCCACCATGGTTCCTTAGGATGAGTTGTTGTTAAGTGCTGTTCAAGACGATTCTGCCTCTCATCAATCCTGTACAGGACTTCTAAGGAGCAGCTGGTGAGTCTGAATTGCCAACCGTACAGTTAGCAGGCCAGTGCTTAATCTACAGCACCACACCAGGACTCCTTAAAGTTAAGTATTAGGTAGTCAATCAATTTTCATTAGACACTTTGGGGAAGTGGAGACTGTCGTGGATAGTGGAGGATGTTGGACTATATCTAAATATAACACACTAGTTCTCTGTACAGAGTCCTGATTTTGTGCTGTGGGTTCAGTACTGGACAGTGAACCATAAAGTTGACAGTTTAAACTCAGAAACAATATACAGGGTTACTATGAGTCGGAACCGACTCGATGGCACTTAACAACAACAACAAGTTCTCTGTACGGAAGTCACAGGACACAGTATGACTAATGTATTCAGTTATATGATATTTACTCAGCACCCAAGTACCAAACACGTGACATCTGTTTGATCAATTGTAACACAGATAGCAGGATTTCTGGTGTGGCCCTGTAGAATCAGCACTAGACTGCAAACCGCAAGGTTGGCAGTTCAAACCCACCCATTGCTCCTCGGAAACCCTATACAGGATTGCTCTGATTCGGAACCCACTCAACAACACTTAACAACAACAAATATATAACTATTAGAGTGCCTAAAATACTGTTTGTCATCTAATTCACAGACAAAGCTAGAAAGAAAGAAAAGGACTGTGTGATTTAAAACCACAGGGAATACAATCCTACATGTTCAATCGACAAAGCTCCATGAGAAAAACGATGGTTCCTGTAGGGTGCTGGGAGTTAGAATCACTGCTATTTACTACAAAGTCATTTAATGAAACACGTCTAAACCCCCAAGTTCAAAAACTGTTTTCATTTTGTTTGCTGTAATAAAACACAAATTTTAAAAGGTATCTGTCATCATTATACCTCTTTACCCAGAGTCTTAATACAGAACCGATATGATAAAAAGCCCCGCCTCAGAGCTGACTATTACATTAAGCCCAGCAGACACCGTACCCAGGGCCCACAATACAACGGGGCTTCAAAATGGTTCATAGAAAACTTCTGGTTGTTTTCCTTCCAGTTTTTGTACAAGCTTTTTGAAGCCTCCTCATATTTTTAGGAGCTTATAGAAAAGTGTGCGTTTCTTTTTAAATCAGACGCAAATAAACCAACAAGCCCGTAGGCTGAAGACTATATTCTAGCATGCAGTCATATACTTATTTTTATACCAACAGAATCACAGAATATAACACTCAGTATTTCTTTTCCTGAAGAAAGGAGCTCTACACCAAGGCAAAAAAGGCGAGGGCCCATGAACGTCATAAGGTAACCCTTGTTGTTGTTGTCAAGTGTTATAAAGTCAGTTCTGACTCGTAGCGATTCTGCAAAGGGTTTCTTGAGGAACAGCTGGTGGGTTTGAACCACTGACTTTGAAGTTCACACCAACCTTACAATCACAATCAGTGCTCATCCTACAGCACACGGCAGGACTCCAAAGGTGGCCCTTACTTGTCTGAATTAAAAAAAAAAAAAAAGGAACAAAAAAAAAACAAAATATTTTGAGCATTCAAGGCTAACTCTAAAGAATCTAGGATAATTATAAACAAGAACATACCTTCAGGGCCAGACTTGAAAATGTACTTGAAACATTGCACTTAAAGCTCAGCTGCTTGTCCAGGCTCCCATCTGGATCCCGCCTCCCATAGTCAGAGAGGCTTGTGCGGTCGGAAGTAGCCACTTTCTGGAACACAGTGCACGTCATTCCCGAGAAGCCGGCAGCCTTGACGACATACGCTTCCAGTGCGATACTGGGAGAAGACTTCAAAATTCAAACACAAGTTACCAAGGAGACGCATACTGGCTTTTCAAACACAACACACTGCCCACAGCCCAGGTTCTTAACAAACAAAACACTCAGTAGGTTGGAAGAATCAAGAAGAGGCTGCATTTAGAAGGATGTCCTGAAATGGAGGGACACCGAAGAGGAAAAGAGAAGTATGAAAGCCTGGAAGATTAGGTACACAGTAGACATCTATCAAAAATAATTTCGAGCATTTGACATGAAATGATAAGCTAAAAATAGGTCATTTCTTATTTTGAAAAAAAAAAAAAAAGTAGAGAAATCAGTGGGCTGGTATGTTACTATTGCAGGAGGAAACAAAGGAAGTCTGTATTTAAAACCAAACCACTGCCGTAGACTCAATTCTGACTCAGAGATCCTAGAAGACAGAGTGGAATAGCCCCACAGTGTTTCCAAGTCTGGCAGTCTTTACAGAAGCAGACTGCTAAATCTTTCTCCCATGGGTTTGAACCACTGATCTTTCTATTAGCAACAGAGTACGTCACCACTGTGCCACCAGGGTGCCCTATAAAGGAAAGCAAATTCACTGCCAGTAAGTTAAATCCAACTCATAGCAACCCTATTTAAAGTTTCTGAGACCGTAGATCATTACGGCAGTGGTGGCGGGGGTGGAGTTGGTTCCCACTCATAGCAGCCCTGTATAGAGTTTCCGAGGCTGTAAATCTTTACGGGAGCAGAAAGCTTCATCTTTCTTCCACAGAACGGTTGGTAGTTTCGAACTGCTGACCTTGAGGTTAGCAGCCTGAGTCGTAACCACTACGCCACCAGAGTTCCTTTATGAGAGTAGACAACCTCATCTTTCTCCTGCTGAGTCTCTGATGGGTTTGAACCACTGATCTTACATTTAGCAGTCTAGTGCTTACCCTACTGTACCACCATGGCCCCTGAAGGTAAGTATTTGTTGTTGCTGTGTGATGTCAAGTTGGTTCCAGCTCATAGCGACCCTGCATAGGGTTTCCGAGGAGGAGTTGGTGGTTTTGAACTACAGACCTCGGAGTGAACAGTTCAGGGCTGATCCTACAGCACCACAAGACTCTGAAGTACTCAATGGCTAATGGCAACTGTATTGAATCGTGTAGAGCTTCTTGTTGTTGTTGTTGTTGTTGTTAAGTGCCGTCGAGTCGGTTCCGACCCATAGCGACCCTGTACAGGGTTTCCGAGGGTGTCAGTTCCAACTCACAGCAACCCTGTAAAGGGTTTCCAAAGAGTGGCTGGTGGGTTTGTACAGTCGACTTTGGGGCCCAGCGCACTGTCCTACAGCACGACTCCAGGTAAGTATTAGGGTTTAGGAAATCCAGTTTGAAATCACCATGTTTCATGCCGACTACATGTTTTCCTCTAACAGGGAGATTAGGTTAAGTATAAGCATTATGTTTTGCTGGTTGAAACATACACTCACTCCAAAGATATTTCTTGGGAAAAAGAAGGGAGATGCCAGTTCAAACAGTAGAAATGAACTGGTTGGTATGAAAAACCACCTTAAAATATTAGAGGCACCATTACAAGTACCATACACTGACAGTTTTCAGTTGGTTTCAAAGCAGAGGGCTCTGTTGGGCTGCTTAACCACAAAGCAAGCATTTTTAAACCCACCAGCCACTCCTTGGAACCCTATCCAGGGTTGCTATGAGTCAGAATCAACTCAACGACACTTAACAACAGCAACACAGCCATATTTTGGAACCGAAGGATAAGTACTGGATGGCTAACCACAAGGTCAGCATTTCAAACCCACCAGCCACTCTGTGGGAGAACGTTAAAGCTGCCTGCTCCTATAGATTCTCGACCTATCTAGGGTCACTATTAGTCAGAATTGACTCTGTGACAGTGAGTTTGTTTTGGTTCTGAACTTAATTGAACAAAGGAAACAATAAACCACAACATCATCAGAAAAGGTCCCAGAAATCAATGGAAAAACAGTAATCTTGAATCGTATAAAATCAGAGCTGAAAGTAAACAATACTATATAAAGTCTGACCAAATAATTAAGATTGCTAAAGGAAGAAAGGAATAAGATGTACCACATCTCTTAGAACAAGAATAAATAGTACATAATTTTTAGAGCAGTTCGTTTTACCATAAATAAAATATTGTTGCTGTTGCTAAGAGTTGCCATCAAGTTAATTTGGAATCATGGAGACCCCACGCATGCAAGTCTGACTGTGCTCCATCATCGGGTTTTCAAGGCTAAGACCTTTCTGATGCAGACTGGCAGGCCTTAGTAGTCAAGGGCTTAATCATTTGCACCATCCAGGGATTTCTGAATAACATTTAATTCTATTTAATTTTTTGTTGTTAAATGCCTTCATGTCGGTTCCAACTCATAATGACCCTGGATAAGGTTTCCGAGGAGCTGCTGGTGAGTTTGAACTGCTGATCTTGTGGTTCAAACCAACTTTGCAGTCCAGCGCATTAACTCACAGTGCCACAGCAGGATTCCACTATTTAATTTAGTGATTTTACAATAGAATTCACTCATGATCCCAAGAGTGGGACCTACTGACCCTGCCAATAGATCCAGGCAGGGCTGGGTGGCACCCCCGTTCCTTTCTGAGACTAAAATCTGAGAAAGTCTTGAGGTACTTTCTTCACACCTTTTCAGGCCCAGAATATGAACAAGGATGGACCATAGTTCTGCACATAGACTGAGATTGTATTGCTGTCCTCTCGTCAGAGAAGGCTTGCCAATGGATTAGCAAGTCAGTGGAGAGAACCATTCCTTTACAGAGCAAAAGACTAGTTTCCAGTTACCATGAAAACAGATGAATTGAAATCAAAACCAACTCTCATAATGTTTTTAAGAAGAAAATTCATTAACAATCAGCATTCCCAGAAAAAACCAATCCCATGTTGGGAAAGAGAGATCTCTCTTTTGGGTTTGAGTAGCTGTCAACGCATTTTTCCCCTTAGGGTCCTGTGATCATTGTGCACTTACTGTTGAGTAAACGTGCGCTCCGTTTGCTAGGCGGTAGGTGGCGATGCGCTGTAGACACTGAACAATTCTACTGCAGGCTTTCGTTTCCCTCTGTGCCAGCCATAGGACACGCTCGTCAGCCAACATGATGTTACTTGCAATGTCAACCATCACATCACCAAGCTGGCAGGCATGCAAGAGAAGAGAGAAAGAGCTTTAAAGTCAACAAGGGCTATTTTATATCATGAGAATCCTGATGAGATGCTGTGCTTGGTTCTCACTCGAAATTTTCACACCAAAACTCAACAGATCCTGTATTTCTCATCAAACTATCTTCAGAGCCGAATGCTGTTGTTGTTAAGAGTCGTCCAGTTGATTTCGACTCACAGCAACCCTATATAGGGTTTCCAAGGAACAGCTGGTGGATTTGAACTGCCGACCTTGTGGTTTGCAGTCAAGCACTGAACTTACAATGCCACACCAGGAGTCCTCAGATCTGAGCACCATACTCAATTATGATCGTGTGGCAGTATTTAGTTCAAAACAGTTAACTATCAAGACACGAAACGACTAATGTGTGGTATCTCTCAAACTGAGGAAAAAGTAGCAATTAAATAAGTAACAGTGAGAAGCAAAGACACCACATGATTCCAAAATACAGAGATCCCAACTTAGCCTGGAAATCAACAACTATTACCATAGGTACCATTTGTTTTAATGGAGATTTACCTCTTTTTATACGGTATTACCTGAAAATAAATCTGTTTGGGTTTAGAAATTAAGAAATGGTTATGGACTGAATTGTGTCCCACCCCTCCCAAAGATGTGTGGCTGATCCTAACCCTGTGGTTAGGAGCCCTGGTGATGCACTGGGCTAAGTGCTGGGCTGTAAACTGTTAAGGTCAGTGGTCTGAACCCATCTGTCACTACTTGGGAAAAGGATGCGGCAGTCTGCTGCTGTAAATATTTACAACCTTGGGAAGTCTATAGGGCAGTTCTCCTCTGAGTCAGAATCAATATTATGGTGTGGGCTTTTGTTTTTTTTAATGTCTGTGGTTATAATCCCATTTGGGATTTATTTCTTCATATTACTGAGGCAGGATCTGTGTAGGGTATGTCTTGAAAAACTTCTTCAGAGATATAAAAGGAGCAGATTAAGATGCAAGACTTAGGAAAACAAAACAAAGATGGCAGGGGATTGATGGATGAGAAGCCACAGGAAGATGGCCAAGGAGCCAAGGAATAGAAGCTAAAGAGAAGAGGACCATCCCCAAGAGTTACAGAACCTTCTCCCAGAGACGGTGCCCCCAATGCCAACTTCCAGCCTCCCAACTGTAAGAAAATACATAGAGTTCTGTGTGTTAAAGGTACCCTCTTGTGGTATTTCTGTTACAGCACCACAAACTCACTGGGCCAGAAGCAGGCACTCGCTGCCTATTTAGTCTCCAATCTCAACACTTTCACTGGCATCTTCAAAAACTGTCACTTGCCCATGTACTTCGAGAACCCCCGATATGCCGTGCCATCTCACACCTCAATGTCATTGTCCCTGTGGTTTCTCTCCTTGCCCTCTCGCCCAGCTCAATAGCCTTACACCGAGTGCCATGCAATTCATGGATCCTACGAAGGACTCACTGTCCCATTGCTTGTATTTATGTGTTTCACAGGTAGGGAATCTTTTCATTAGTTCAACTCATCATTCACAGATGTAAACTTACTAGGCAATGCCAATGAAATGTCAACTGGATATTTACTCGGACTTGTATGTCCCACCATCAGAGAAACGTGCTCTACAGTCCAAGGATAACTAGACATGTCAGTGATTGAAAGGGTTTCATTTTGGGCAAATGTTCACGGGAGCAAGATGTGTCGTAGAGAACTACAAAAATTTCCCATAAGTAGGATCAGAAGATATACAAGCTCACTGGTCCCCTGACGAAGTAGTAAGGATCACAGACATTAAACCCTAAAGTCAAGCCAGAAAGACAAGACCACTTCGTTGTTGTTGTTATGTACCATCAAGTCGGTTCAGACCCATACTAACCCTATACAGAATTTTGAAGGAGTACCTGGTAAGCTTGAACTGCCAACACTGCAGTTCCAACTGACCTCTCAGGCCAGCACATTACCCCACAGTGCTAAAGGCTAAAGACCGCTTTAGTAGGTGTCTTTTTATCATTCCAGATGATTCCACCTGAAGTTTGTCAACGCTGTTCTACATCTGCTACTCTTCATACAATGAGGATTCATGAGGACTGAGGTGAGTTTTCTTCACAGGACTACACACTGATGCTTTTCCACCAGATCCTGACCTTTGACATAGGATGAAGCAACCTTGGTAAACACAATGGGTCAGAATAGGACTCTTAATCTCTCAGTGTCTTTATTTACAAAATTAGAATAACAATGACTTTCTCTGTTGCTTTGGCTATATACTTTATTTTAATGTACTTT